CTGATACTCGTATGTATGCTTTTGTAGTAAAGCTTTCTGTTGTTAGGCAGTCGTTGAACTTTCTTCTGCTGAGTAACTTACGTTGCAGAGCGTAAATCCTTAACCGTGTCTCTAGATAACAGCGAAATCAGGGTAAAATGTCAGCCTTGAACATTTCAAATTAAGCTTGAAATCGGGAGAAACGGTATTCAAGACCACTGATCGTTTCCTGCATTGATGACACTTATTGGCCACTAAATGTCAAGCGGAGTGGTCGAGACTTTGTCATAATTTTTATTCATGATGTATTTTCTTGTCCTTTCACAAAGACATGTAATTAATTTTTCAGGCAGGGCGAAAGGGAGAATGGATCTCGTAAAAATACTTCCCACGTAAACGTCTATTTTCACATAAAATTAAATGAGTGACCTAAGCTACACGCGGTATGTTGAATTCCAGTACTTAAAAATACTTCATTCAGACGTGGTGAATGCAGGAAATAATGTTGTAAACCTAACGGCTTCTTTCATAACTTCTTTTCGAAGTGCCAATGTATGGAAAGCCGCCATGTGGAGGGTGACACCTTTTAAGAAGTTTCCCATACTGGTTTTCTTAAAAAAATACGATAATTAAGGTTTTACACTTTACAGATTTTTACTGATGAACGCAAGTCTGAAATATTTAAATTACTGCTCTACGCGAATTAAGCCAACGTACGTATGTTCTTACATTTTTTAAGGACCTCTGCCTCACTCTCTCTTGCATATGCTGACATTTTTAAATTCCATATTCATACTTACTTCGGAGTTACTCAGCATCAGTGTAAAATTTCGTCTTATAGTTATATTTTCAGACTAAAACATCGTATGAGGATCGCACCTATTTGAACTTTAAGCTTGACTAAAAAACTTGAGATCAAAGGAGCTGCTTTATAACTACGTTGGTCTTAAATAGACTTGAAGTTGGAGAAATAAATCAATCCTTTTCTAAATCGTTCTATTAGGATAATTGCTTTCCAGTAATTGGAACATCTGCTGACGCCTGTAAAGTTGGGCATTGTCCCTAAAAAAAAACTTCATTATGCTTTTTAAAATAAAACTGGGAAGTATTTATAAAAGGGGATATGTAAATGTGTAGTTTTGGAAACAGATGTTGTTACTTCAGATGCCATTAACACCGCATACGTATGCAAGCATATGCCACCCTGGGATACTAGGAACGACCCATTCTTCAAGTGCATGAGCACTGCGGGTTCCAACTTTTTCGTTGGCTCGATCTATAAACATTTGGTAGGACTCCTTGGACGAGGGATCGGTCCGTCGCAAGGCCTCTACCTGTACACAGGACAGCACATACAGAAAGACGCGGACAAACATCCATGGCTTGAGTGGGATTCGAACCCACGGTCCCAGCGATCAAGAGGCACAAGGCCCACGCATCAGACCGAGCGGCCACTGCGTACCCCATGCCACCCTGGGACGTATTTAAATGAATTTTATCTTTCTATCATAAAATAACTGGGACGACATGAAAAACATTTTTTTGACTACATATAAGCCAAAGGTTAATTTGTTAAAACGACCAATTTTTATATGAACAACAAAAGTAAATTGAAGCAGCGTTTGCTAATTGATTGTCAGTCCCTCCACCTCAACAATTCTGTATTCTCTAATGACCTCCAGTCATACGCTTCGTCATGGTGTATTGAGAACCGATTAAATTTATATCTGATAAATTTTATAGTAACAACATTAAGTTAACCCCTAATATATCACGAACCAATCGGATTTGCATGGTGTTAGATTGCTTACTGGATCCGAATGCTACCTGGTTCCAATACTGATCTATTTAGCAGTTTAGTATTGTTTTTCCTCAGGCTGTCTCAATGTTACCTTCTTGTGAAACCCTTTCTCTTTGAAAGTTATTACTTGCTTTAAATGTTGCCCCAGTAACTACAATCGTTTCGCCACTCATCTTTTTGCCCTTATAACCTGTCTATCAGATGTGATCTGTGTGCCCTTTTGAATTGCTTATAGAGGCCAGAGTTCAAGTCAGAGATCGATTTGGGCTGTACGATCACCTTATGGAATATAAAATATACTTTCTATGTAAAGACACCATAAATGATCGTTTGAGCTTTGCGCGGTTTGTAAAGTAATTGCACCTGACTCAAGAAAGTTCATTGACTCAACTGGCATAAAAAGTTTAAACCGATTAAATATTATATTAATTAATTTCAAGCACAGCATGTGTCTCCGTCTATTCCTTATGACGAAGGAAGGTTCTTCCTTCGAAGCACTGCAACTTTTGAAAGAAATTTAAAGAATTTTGAACAGACGATAGTCTACTGGACGGCTACTACCGTAACGTCCAAATACTGGGGACTCAGAATCCGTTCATGTAGACGGGTTAGTTACCATCATTTCGATGTTGGTCGATACTTGCCTTACACAAGCATTCAATTTATCCCTGTTATGCAACGTAGTACATATTGTGTCGACGGGCGACAACCAGTATAATTGAAATTGGATAGTTCCATTCCCGTCTACAGATATACAGCGTATAGAGAAATAGGCTGTAGAGCTCCAAATTATATTCGATTTCTGCATAAATGTACTGCAGCCAGATTGTAATTACGCAGGTGGCGATGTGAAATAAATTAATCATACTTATCTAAATTTTGCCGAAGAAACCAAATCTCTTGTATACACATTCAGATGAAAATAACAAGTTTATATAATAAACTATATTATCCCTGTTAAATTCTTTGGTACAAAGGTGCGGTCTATGTTGTGCTAGATTTTTTTATCATTCGTACACCACAGCGTTTCGAGAGCAGTTACTACTTGGTGTTCGGTTTAAATGAGGATAAAAGGCCTGACGATGAAGGTAGTATGTTCCTCCGAAACGTTCATACTGACCCACATGGTGTTACAGCTCAGAAGACCAATATTTCATTTCTGTGTTTAGTCGGTTCGATTTTCCTTCTCTCTCCGAAAGTACTATCTTGGGACCTTAGTAATTAACTAAGACTAAGCAATGTTGTTAAGTAGTTACATTTAGTTACTTCTGTCCTCACCGCAGTTACTGTATCTACTTAGCTATATGAAGTGGGGCGTGTGAGTTGTGGAAGACGCTAGATAAATTTCCCCCGAAATACGATAGTCTAATGAAATTCTAGTACGAATAGATGATTAAAACCTTGCATTAAGGTAGAATGTAATTCAATTCTTGCAAGTAATTACACTGAAACAATTGACTATTGAAGACACAAAGAAAAGAACAATGCGACCATGTTTATTATCGGACTTCTCAGGATAGGTTTCAAGGACGACTCACGTGAATACTAATTAATTATTTGGCCCTATAAAATGCGGGAAATTTCTTGATATTTTGAACTTCTGTCAGTTTATGAAAAATGATTATTCTCGTTAGTATTATTTTATGAAAATGCAATTTACTCATTCTGGGATGTAATATCGGAAACATAATTGTAATAATCCTACAAAAGAAAACATTCCTTGAAAATATGATTTCCTAGGGTAAATTTGTTTATGGTAGACATGTAGGCCTATAATCGTTATTCTATTTTGGTTTCATTTATTCTCTCCATCAACTACGGGTAATGCCATTGATCTTATAGACAGGTAAAAATATGAAACATTTTACGTTTCTAAGAAATTACAAATAATGTTTGTGAGAGCATTACGTTCTAGTCGTGGTAAAGAAAGGAAAAAAAAGACATCACCCCTACCGGGAAAAGTATCCCCTCTGTGTGCCCAGTAGCCCGTTCGTTCTAAATGAGCTGATGTGTGGAAACCCCCAAAAAATCACAAATTACATGTCCCTCTTAAAGTACAGAAATAAATAAACTTTTATTCGGTGAAGGAGGCTTGAGTGTGATTGAGACCCCATTGCTGGTGAGAATTCACCCCGTGGCAGTCCTGTGTGTGTCCATCTGTATGAAGGGTCTCTCCACTGTTCAAACGCGCTTGAATCGCAGTAATTGCTACCCTGACAGACATGAACTTAATGAGACAGTCAGGGATTGTAATGGGGTCGAGAGGGGTAACAGGGGGTAGGGCGGTGAATGGGAATTTATCTCCCACATTCGCCCATCCCACCGTGAAGTTTGCCCACCAAAAGCCACCCGCATATCACCCGTCTCTTCCGGAATGCGTACACGATGTCG